GGTAGCTCATCAATGAAGGCGGTACACATCGATCAGGGCACTCTTTTTGGTTGTTCAGCAAGAGTAGAGAAGGGTAGTTTGTAGCCATTGTCGTAGGTCTTCTGGACTGATGGCCAAATCTCCCCATATAGAAAGAAGCCGTAGGCATCACTGTGATTGACTGAAAAACCTTCCACATCTCCGTAGACCACAGTGACGCCTTCACACCTTGATCCCTGTGTAGGTGCCTACAATCAGCAGGAAGTTCCAAGAAGAAACCCACCTCTCTCGGGCCGGAGATCTGGGCCAAGAACCAAAGGATCATCTGCTTCGCAACATTGGAAGTTTCCATATCGGTTCTTCTCGTTTGCATTGCCGTGAGGTCCTTGATTCCATAGGGCTCGGTCATGGTCCTGCAGGGATAAGCTTCGGGGCCTCGCAAAGGCGTGGCGGACACCGGCCACGTTTGACATGGAGGTGCACTTATGATGTCCGAGATCCTTCCCGATGCTGCCGCCCACAACAAAAGCTGATAAACACCTCCTTCCCGATGCAGGTCCCAGCGCTTCGACTTCATCTTGTCGACATCCAAAACCACCTTGCCATCCTTGGGAAGGGTCGCGAAGGGGTCGTTGGGGAGGTCGCCGTTGCCCGAGAACAGGTTCACCACCCAATTCCTCGATGCTAACAAGGATCTCCGTTTCCTCCTCGTCAATGGAAGGGCTCTCAAGTACTTCTCGCCGTCCTGCAGATTGAATCCTTCCACCAATGAAGACTGAACTTCATAGGGCAGGTCCCTTGTCAACGGCGAAGCCAAAACAACCTTGAGCAATGTAGGCTTCGCCCCTGTCTTCGAGTACTCCCTCAACAGCTCTGTCCAGTCCCGCTTTTCCTCCTTCCGGATTACCTCTAGTCGGGCCTTCAAACCTTCCACTTGGTTGGCTCATCTCCAACTCTCTTATCAGGTCCAAGGCGTCCGAGGCAGCCACTTCCGGACAGTGGTTCTTTATCTTCACCTTGATGGGCTTCTTGTCCGGGTGTGTCAACCTCAAAGTTCGCGGACTCCAATGCAGCGTATAACCAAGTCGTTCGATGACAGCTCCAAGTGGGACGATCGGCTGAATGGTGGTATCCTTCTCCTGGACCAAAATGGTCCCTTGGGGGTTCTGCATCAACACCCTTACGTCCTCCCCGGCCAAGGTGACCCGGACAGGCTGGCCATTGTTGTACTCAATCTCCGGTGCAGGCCTCATCGGATGGCTCGCGCCGCTATCCAGCAGCCCGGTGCTGCCCTCGATCTCCGTAAGCTGCTCCATGACCCTCTTCATCATGTTCTCCCGTGTCTCTTCCTCCTCGGCTTCTTTCACCCTCATAGAACGAATGGAGGTTGCTGACATAGCCTTAAGCATCTTGGTCTTGCCCACATCCGCCAGCACTTCCTTCAGGTCATTGGCCTCAACCGTAGATGACGCTGCTGCCGTGGGCCGAGCAGGGATGGGCTCGACCTGTGGGGTTTCATCAATGCGAACATTCTTATTGGAAGTTCCATTCGTTGTAGTAGATGACGTAGGGGACTTCGGTCCCTGAGGCTTTCCAGAGGTATTCGCAGCTGCAGACTGATCCCCTTGTGGAGCCGGTTTCTTATGCGGGCACTCCTTGGCTGAGTGATTCTTTCCGCCACACGCCAAACATCTGCCATTCTTCTCAACGCCTTCCCAGGAATGCAAGAACGGGCATCGTCCCGCCCTTGCGCACCCCTTGTAGGTCTTCGCGAAGAACTTGCACGGTACCTTGGACTTGTCCTCCTGGTTCCTGTCACTCTGTTCCCCGTCTGATCTTGTAGTAGATGCCGAAGGCGACCTCGAGCCGTTTGGGGATGGAGTATTCGGGGTTGTAGCAGATGCAGAAGGAGTCCTGTCAGGCTTCATCGGCTTCATCTTCGGTTCGGGTTTGTTGGGTGCCGTGGTAGTGGTTAGCGTTGAAGCCTGGGTCATTGACGAAGACGATATAGCAAGCGTCACATTCTGCTAGAAGGTGGTGGTAAAACTTCTCCACTGACTCGTAGGACGGCTTTGTATCCACCTGCAAGTGGCTCTTAACCAGAGAGGTTCTGAAGCTAACCTCCGGCTCTTTCTCCAACACAGCTCGTGTAATCAAAGACAACCCACGAATAAGTAAGCTGGGGTCCGGCACTGCGACTTCCAACTCCTTACATCTCCTCAGCCAACGCGCCCACGCCCTCAATGACCTGACCGCATCGGCTGCTGTAAGCTCGCTCTTGGGCTGTTGAAGACCTTGGAGAATAGTGATTTTTTCTTGTTGGCCCCCTGGTTGATATAGGGTTAGCAGTCTAAACAGAAGCGATGTAACTGAGCCTGTGGAGCGACGTTGCACCATTTCCTGTTTCACAGCATCGGGTAAAGCCATCAAGACCATGGAAGCCGCCCGCGAGTTCACACGGCTCCACTTTCCACTCTCCAGAGCCTCTTCCCTAGGGGGAAGTATGCTGAGCTTCTCCACCGGAGACGCCGAAGTCCATCTCGAGTAGGCCTCGTAAGCACGGGCACGAACCCGTGACCACCACTCCGCACTTCCATCCGACAGGTCCTGCATTGTTGTCGTAATGACTTCCAGCCAATCCATGATATCCACCGAACTTGTTTGTTGGTTCACCTCCGGCAAGCTTGGAAGTACATTGCTGCCAGGCTTCACTGTCTCCGGACTAGGATCCTCCTCTTTGTCCCTTGCTTTGTCCTTCATGTGACTCAGCATCGCTGCTTGAAGCTGGGCGATTCCTCCGGCCAAAAGAGCCATAGGATCTGGGCTCGCTGGACCTCCAAGCCATTGTGAAGGGGTACTAGTCGACTGCCCCCCTTCGTTGCCTTGCTCGGCGAATATGTAGTTGCCTTGGTAGTAGATGACGTCCCTCGCTCTCCGACATGAACCGTTGGATCTGGTCCACGCTGCTGAGTACCACTAACGCCACCCACGACTCCTGGATCCTGCGCTACTTGTCCTGTGACCCCAGATGCTGGATTCATAGACATACGAAGACTCCCTTGAGGACCACCTGGATTTCCTCGAAGCGGATCTGGAGCACTACGAGGTACATTAAAACCATCTCCCTGTTCCCAAAGACTCCCTTGAGGGCCACCTGGATTTCCTCGAAGCGGATCTGGAGCACTACGAGGTACGTTAAGACCATCTCCCTGTTCCCGAAGACTCCCTTGAGGGCCACCTGGATTTCCTTGAAGCGGATCTGGAGCACTACGAGGTACGTTAAGACCATCTCCCTGTTCCCGAAGACTCCCTTGAGGGTCACCTGGATATCCTTGAAGCGGATCTGGAGCACTAGGGGATAGGGGTCGGCCCACTGGTGGTCGACGATTGTTCTCTGGGGGTTCATCAAGGTTACCATGCAAGCCAACATGAGCACCAGGGTATACATTAGGATTTCCATCACTGAGGCGAAGACTCCCTTGAGGACCACATGGATTTCCTGGAAGCGAATTTGGAGCACTATGAGGTAGGGGCGGGGCTTTGAGGTCTCGGTAATGGATCTCCGTGGGGTAGAACGGCATTTCGACGGTCGTCCTCAACATTACCAATACCTCTTGCCCTCAACTCAAGCTCCTGCTTCTCTCCCCGTAGCCTTTGAACCTCACTCTGCAGTGAACGTAGCTCTTCCTGGTACTTCATGTTATACTCTTCCATCTGCCTCTGTACCTCTGCTTGAAGCCTCGAAGAATGATCTGAGCCCACCTCGGAAGGTTGTCCATAAAGGAGAGGGTGTTCTCTCTGGGCTTGACGTAGCTGTGCCACTTGGGTCTGGTTGAAAAGTGGCTGTTGTGTAGTAGCGGTAGTCCACGAGGTAGGTGGTTGCATAGCCCTCGTGGAACTCTGTGGCAGCTCCTCTGGTGGCGAGAAATTCATATGGACTTCACGAGTGCGTCCCGAAAAAAGGCTCAAGCCCGAGTTGCTCGTAGCTGCAGGACCAGGTTGCATTCCCAAGTTGTCCATCACTCGGTCCCAACTGCTAGCTCCTCGGGTTGCAGCTGCTCGCATCAGCTCCGTGAATCTCGTCATCCACCTGATGTTTCTCTCTTCATGCGCTGACATAGTGGACTCTGCAGAGAAAAACTCTTGCACCCTCATCGTTGCTGGAGGCTCAGGAGTCATCCTAACATCCACTCTCACATCCGTCCTTGTCGGCGTTGTCAGAACACCGTTTGCCATCGGACTTATAACGTTCGCGCACCGGTCCGGTCCTCCATACGGAGGTTCGGCCACATCCGATCTAAGTTCCGTTGACGTAATCGTGCCTGAAGCCGGGTCTTGCTCGGCCTGGGGAGCCGGGTCGTAGATGTTGGGGTTTCCCAACGCCACTTGTTCCACAGTCCCAGACGCAGAGCCGCTTGGCTGCTGAGTAGATGTCACTCCATTCGGTAGTCCACTCCCTTGTGCCAGAGCACCATACGAGCTTGTCGTGGGAGCTGTCAAACTGCGCTCGGTTGCTTGGGCGCTCATGACCTAAAGATCTTTGAAAGCGATGATCGTATGAAAGGTCCAGGTCTTATGCAGCAAGCGCGCCACGAACCATGAATCACGCGCGGAGAGGCCCTAACTTTTGCGACGAAAGCACATGCTGTAGCTTGGTGCTTCTATGCTTGTGCAATGCTGAAGCCCTTATTAGGCTTTGCCCTTGCTTGCCAACGATCGCTCGCCTTGAGCTCTCTCCAGACATGCTTGGGCCAGTATCGGAACCAGCACTGAACTGCACCTCTGTACATGCAGAACGGGTTTCTGGCTTCAAAGGGCTCTAAAGATAAACTGGCGGCTTCGGGTTTCTACACATATATAAGGTTCCCTTAAACGTTCATCCCAGTGCCAAACTTTGGGCTGTTTGGTCCCTCGGATGCTGTGATCGCCGAAGGGTTCAACCTGAAAAAGCCGAAACTCCAAGCTCTTATCAGAAGTCCTATTCCTGTCAAATTGCAGCACCTGGGTTGTTGCCGAGGCACGGCGATGGTCGAGGCCGAACCTGTCTACCGAAAAAGGATGTGCAACGTCCATCTCTTCCGGCAAGCCGGTCATGTACCAATACTTAAGTATGTGACGAAGCTTATAACTTAAAAACACCAGGGTCCCGGACTTAACCCGAATCCAAAAAAAGCCCTGAATCCCTCGAGTTCAGCCCATGTCGACTCTGCATCTCCACAACCTCACAACCTTCCCGGTCCTGAACCGGAGATGCGCGTGGAGATGTGAAGAGTTGTCCGACAATTGAGTCTTCGAAGTCCGCGGCCTGATCATACAAACGGCGGCAGCATTGCACAGACCCCTGTCTCTGGTGGCTGTGGAATACACTGTTGAATACACCATAGCATCTGTGGCCTGTGCTCGTCCACATGTGCCTTGCTGTTTGCGTAAGCTTCTAGGCTCGTCTAGAGTAGGAGTCTAGGACACAAACAAAGACACGACAGTGGCCGGCTAATTAACTAGCTGCACCCCGCCCATGCTGTTCGACTGTGATCAGTCACAGTGCAAGGCTTGCAAGGTGTCAACCCTACCACAGCAAACCGTAAAGCCAGAACCAATTATCTGTGTCTTACGCGGCTTGCAGTGCGAGATATCTCATGTGTCAACAGCCCTGAGTTCAGGAAACCGGAAAAGGAACTGACTGAAATCATGTTACGCACACACGAAGAGCCTGAGTCCTAACTCGTGCTGCTTCAAGCCTTTTACAGAGGAGTTGAGGTTGCTTGTCCCAGAGCGATCGGGAGGCATGGTTGGAGCACGTCAGTGTCCTGTTTCTGGGAACAACCGTCTTATACCGTCTTGCAAAACACTCTGCTGCTACCGGTGTCGGGTGCTAGTTGCGGTCCAGGAACGGATATGCAGGGACTGTGCTGTGAAACGCTGAGAAATTCGTGAGCTCCCGACGGGGCCCTGTTGGTGCCAAGAGCTGGTAGACCTTCGCGAATATGTGCGAATCGCAGCGGTCACACCATTGACGACAAGGGCCGCAGCACGGAGCATGCCGAGTATGCGCTCCAACCACATGTTTCTGGAAGTGCCATGACAGCGATATGACCCACTTCTGCAGTTGATCTGCTTTGAGTCTGAGGACTGGTTTTTCTGCTTGCGGCTGCAGCTGTCACGATCCCACCTTAACTCGAGGGAACCTCCGACTCATATGTTCGAGCATGATGAAATTCTTTACTGACAAGATCAACCTGTCCTCTAACTACGCACCGTGAAGATGGGCAACAGTTGTAAAGACTTCACGCTGCGCTTCCTGGTAAGCTGCTTTTACGCCGGCCTGGAAGTCGGGTTGCTTGTGGCCGAAGCACCCGACAGTCGTGAAGGGACGCTGACCTTCTTTTGCTGACGGCCAATGAAGCTCTAAATCTCGCTCTCTCTCTCACGGACTCAGTCACCTGTCAGCCGCGACACACAACATAGCGATTTCGCTATGCACTCTTACCTACAAAATGCAAGAATGTGAGAACTACACAATTACCGAAGCTACAAGGACTTCACATGCAGTGCCCAATCATCCGGAATCTCCTCCGAGCTGACTTAAGGTACAGTAGCCGTTGAAAGTTGTGTATGTGTATTGTCGACTGAATGCGTGGACCATGCTGCGTCACGACAGCAGCCATGCAAAGCAGTTGAACCACGAACAAGTCTCCATATAGCATTTGGAAGCGAGGAACAAACTGAGCCAAAACCGGCTGTAAAGCTCCAAGCTCATAATCTCTGTTTGAGGATTTCTTGGGTCTCCGGCTGAGTATCTTGCACGTGGCATAGGCTTCGCTTTGCTGATGCCATAGCTTCTATCAAATACGCTCGCACACAACAGCGATTCAACTTGTTAGCAGGCCTTCAAAGCCGACAGCCAACTCGGAATCGAATTACGAATCTTGGTAAGCTGGAGGTTCCATGGACATCCTGCTGGGAACGGCATATACCTGAGCGAAATACGAGCCTAAGGCTCCCGCAAAGCAACACTTCTGATGGTACACCCCTTTACTAGACAGACAATTTGCCGTCTCAAAGTCTCTACGCCTGAGGTGGGGAAAGCTCCAGCGGCGAAGTCGAATCCTGAGCTGAGCACACTGAGGAAGACGGTACAGGCCTCAATGCTAGTTACCAAAGATTACCAAAGCAGTAAGCCACGTTTGAACATGGCTCAAGAA